TCTTTCAAACACATGAAATCTGAAAATTGCTCAGGACATTCATAAGCTCCTTTTTCATATACTGTGTTTTTTGTCAGACAACTGCATGCTCCATAAGTGTGTAATCCCCCTCTTTTTCCTCAAAGGCACAGGGAACTCAAAAACTAGGTATTGTTTAGTATCATATGCATTGTAAAATCATGTTTAGAACTTTGAAGTGAGTTACATGAATGCATAACACAACAGGTTCATGATCTGGCCATTTTACGTACATGCAAATAGGTTGTCCCAGAGTGCAGTCCATTGTGGTGTGTGAATTGGAATTCTACCCCAGGACTTGCCTTTGAAAAGCACCACTGAATGAGAAGAGACAGAAACCCTGACCCACCTCATCACACCTCAATATAAAGTTCAGAAACTCACAAACATCTGTGAGTTGAGCATTGGATTTACATCCACCTGGATCTCTGACGATCAACTTCAGATTCGTGTTTTAGACTCTTCATTCTGGCTGATCCCACCTTGATCTAAGCCAAGTCTCCACTGGTGCAAGACATAGATGCAGAAGAACGTGAGACCTTCAGTGAAGACAGAAATTGTGCACAGTGAGTGGAATGCATAGTGCTAACAGTTAAGTTGGGATAATGGTCTGAAGTGGGATAATGGTCTGGGGATGTTTTTCAGGGTTTAAGCTAGGTCCATAGCTCCAGTAAAGGGTAATACAACAATAATTTCAGTAATACAGCAGGGTAATACAGCATACAAGTACATTTCAGACAACTGTATGCTTCCAACTTTGTGGCAAAAGTTTGGGGAAGACCCTTTCCAGTTCCAGCATGATTGTGCCCCTGTGCACAAAGTGAAGTCCATAAAGACATGGCTTGTCAATTCTGGTGTGGAGGAACTCCAGAGGCCTGCACAGAGCCCTGAGCTCAACCCCACTGAACAACTTTGGAATGAATTGGTACATCGATTGCGAGCCAGGACCTCTCGCCCAACATCAGTGCTTGACTTCACAAATGCTCTTTTGACTGAATGAGCACAGATTCCCACAGACACACACCAAAATCTTGGAGAAAGCCTTCCCAAAAGAGTGGAGGCTGCTATAGCCACTAGGAGGGAGGCTGGAGGGTGTAACACGATATTAATGCCTGTGATTTTGGAATGGGCTGTCCACTAAGGTGTATAGGTGTGATGGTCAGGTGTCCACATACTTTTGGCCATATAGTGCTGTGGCAAATTACTGTTTAACTGTGTGTCTATTTTGCAGAGAACAGACGCCCATCTCACAGAGCTAGGGTATGCATATGCAGACTACACACCTCTCATAATTTATATGAGTAGAACTCTATGGTATTAACCATTTTGGTTTATGAAATGTTTGAATTTGTGGTTTGTTGTAAATCATTCCTGAAATGGACTGAAAGGACAGTGTCCCCTTTGAATCCTCTCTCAAACTAAGCACATGAGGCACTGGGAAAGATTTGTGTAATTTTTGCCTAGCTTTTTCATGTACATCCGTCTTGGCCTTCATGTCCGTGACAGAGCCTACACATTTCTCAAACATAATAGTCTATGCGTGGTAGTGGTGTTAGCGGCCAGCAACCAGATTTAGTAATTTAAGTGATTTCCAATCCATGCCCTGAAGTACCATTGCTCTGCATATCTGGTTCTCTGATCTCAGACATCTAATCTAACTAATCAGCTAATTAAATAGCACATCCTGAATAGACATGGGTGTGGTGAACAGGAAAGGACAGAACAGACTCTACTCTTTGAGGAAGCTCAGGTCAATTTATGTATGCAACAGGATGCTACACAAGCCAGTCAGTGGTGGCAAGCACCACATTCTAGCTGGGGCAGTGGGATGAAAGCAGGTGATGCCAGTTGACTGAACAAGCTTATGAGAAAGGCTGGACAGGTAATTGGGGTCAACCTGAACTTTTCCTGAATAGGTTGGAAATACATGGGAAATCACTAAAATGTGCCAGGCAGTTGTACTTCTGGACCAGGGATTTATAGGAATCTGTAATTCTGAATTCACTTTAACTCACTCAGTACCATTGCAGGTAGAATTTTCTCAACCATTATCAAGTAGCTCTAGTGGAACTGTCAAGTACAAAGCAGTCTAACAAATGTGATTGTCCATTGTGTTGTAGGAGACACCATTTGTATGGTGCAATGACAGTGTGGATAATGTTTTTTTTTTAGTCTGCCAATGACAGAATGCTTCAGAGGCCTGTTTCATGAAGCTGGTTTCGGTGGCTACCCAGGTAAGTTTGCGTTTAGTTTGAGCAAACTCGTTTTTTCGGTCTCAACAAGGTGGATTGGTTTTTAGTGCCATGGTAACTGATACTACATGGCTAACCTGCTCCAGAGCTGGTTTTATTCTGGGTAAGAGACCTCAAACCCAAATTGGACCAATCAGCTGTGAGCAAAGTGATATAAATCTAGTGCATGAAAGTTAACCCTTTAGTGTTTGTAGCGATGGCTTCACCATTTGTGGAGAATCCTCTGGAGCTCGGAGTGTAAATAATAAGAAGGGCACTTCGAAGGGAAAGAATTTTTAGGGACAGACACAATCCCCTGGATTTTCCCGATGACCATCTGTACGAAAGATATTCATATTCAGCAAATGGTATAGTTTATCTATGCCGGCTTCTTGAGCCGCACATTAAAAATCTGACATGCTGAAGCCACGCACTTATTGTACCACAGACTGTATGTGTTGCTTTGCTGTTCTTTGCGAGTGGTACATAATTTTATGCGGTGGCATTATTCCTGTCTTGATATATTTTCACAAATTGATATATATTTTATTAATATTTAATTTAAAAAGACATTTATATTAAATGAAATTACATGAAATATGTTGGGGTTAAACTTTTTCAATCCATTTATTCTCATTTGAGCCTATAAAAGTAAACTTGCGTTTACACAATCAGCAATTTCTGAATGTAGCTGCCACAGCACGGGTTGGATTTGTTCAGATTTGTCAACTCAAAACTTACTCTGCAACTCTGAGTTTGTTCAATTCGCTTCGAGCAACAGGCCTCAGATGCACCACATATTGTGCTTGGCTCCTGACAGCAGCATAATGTTGTGATATGATTCTGAGACATCGTTTGGCTCTAGATATAATAATTGGTCTTTGTCAAAGGCTCCCTTGTGCACATTTATGGTTTTATGTTTTGTACACTGCAGCCCATACAGGTGTTTTTCTTGCCTTGTCCTTCAGACTGCTTTTCCATGTGTGACTCTTTCTTCTTTATACCACAGTTTACTTGTTATATGGTAATTAGCTACATCATTACATTTTGACTCTCCATTTTAATTTAGTGGGATTTTATTTCTGACATTGAAGAGTTGTGTTTTTTTCTTTTTTTTCTTCAGTTCATCTGTTTCCATAGAGATGGCCCTGCTGTACTGCTTGGTCTTTTTCTGTGAACAGTTTCTTTAGAGGACTCATATGACTCTTTCCCTCAATGTAATTTTTAACCTATCACTGAAATGACATGCTGAAACAACTTCTTTATTTCATATGTATTATTATACTTTCACTTTTTGACTAATTCTACTTATCGAATCTGAATCTTTCAGCTATTGTTTAAAAATATTTCGGCTTAGTTTGGCTTTTTGCAGAATGTCGATGGCACTTTTTATAAACCTTTTGGACTCCTTTTTTTCAGGGCCAACTGACTGCGTTAAAAGACTGTATGTTTCATACTTTAGGCTAAGCACTGTTTCAATCTTTCTGTTTTTCCCCCATGATATTAGTTCCACATGTTCCACATGTCAGCTTTATTAAATTCAGTTATGTTCCTGAGGCTGTTTTCTTTCATACCTATTTTTCTGTCTACCTTTTCAACTGACTCTGAATGGTGCACCTATTCCTGTTAAGAGCCATATAATGTAGAACTCAGTGTATTTACTACTTAGCACAATATTCTGCAGATGTCTCTATCAGTACATTACACTCATTAGTCAACACAGCTGATTTAAAACAAAGCCAGTTTTATCATCGCTGGTTACTACACCTCATACTCAGTAGCAGGGTGTCACTAGCCTGACTCCTAAGCATGATGTCTTACCCAGTTGTGTGGTGGACTCATTAAGACTCAGGTATTTTCCAGGTTGAACTGTTACAAAATACAAGTAACAACAATTAGTATTCAGAATATGATTTTACATTTTGTATTTTCATCCAGTCCACAATAAATTTTGAAACGCCATTTTTAGAATAGTCACTTTGTGTAGCGTGCCTTCTGTGCTGAAGAAAAAAAACATGGGGTGGGTGGCGGCCTCACATAAAACACTGTAACTATAAAAATGCTACCACATTACTAGTGCAAACTATCTAGCTGATATATAAATTATTATTAGGGGCCAAGCACCACTGGTGCATAGGCACCTATTATAATCATTGTTCTTATTAGGGGCCAAGCATTGCAGGTGCGTAGACATCTATTGTAATCATTAGTGTTCTTCTTTTTCTTCTTCCACTTTTGAGTCTATGGCAGCCCGTAGAACCATACATAGGCAAGCTATGAAATTTGGCACACAGATAGGGGACAGTCTGAAATGTTAGCACAGTTGGAGTTGCTATCTCATACCCACTAACACCACCAACAGCTCAAGTTGCACTCATATTTATGCTAATAACTTTTGAACCATAAGGGCTAGAAACAAAATTCTTTTTTTTTCTGATTCTTTGGCTTGTGCCAAGTAAAATGCACCATATGATGTCATTTTCCAAATGAATTTGACGATGAGCATGCCGAAATATCTCCGTAACGCTTTAGCGTATTCAGACTAAACTTAGTATATGTCATAGCCATCCTGACTTGAGGGTACCTGCACAGTTTTGGAACAGCGCCTCCTAGTGCTCACAAGATATGAAAAATATTTTTTTTGCTTTTAACTTCTGAACGATTTGTCCTAAAATCCTGAAATTTGTCCTAAAATCCTGATCACCCATCTTTGGGTGGTCAAAAATTATAACAGAATTTCAGCTTTTGATTACTTTTGGTCTAGCGGCTTAGGATCCCGCGCTCCCACCACTGTGGCCTGGGTTCGATTCCCGGGCAGAGAACCAATCCAGCCATTGGGAGTGTACTCTCAGTGCTGGTCCTAAGCCTGAATAAAATGGGAGGGTTGTGTCAAGGAAGGGCGTCTGGTGTAAAACCTGTGCCAAATCAAACATGCACACCAATGATCTGCTGTGGCGACCCCTAACACCGAAATGGACCATGCCGACAAAAAGTGGAATTCAAGTTGATTAGTCAAACCAATGACTGAATTTGACAATGAGCATGCCGAAATGGACGTGAGGCTATATCTCCGTAACAATTTAGCATATTCAGACCAAACTTAGTATATGTCACAGCCATCATGAGTTTAGGCTACCTGCACAGTTTTGGAACAGCACCACCTAGTGCTCACGAGATATGAAAAAAGCATGTTTTTGCTTTTCGGACCGTTCGTCTGATTTTCACCAAATTCAACACAAATCATTCAGCTCCGTCAGCTTGGATGGGAAGACTCTATGAACTTCAGTTCCTGTAACGTAGTTCCTGTTTTCGAATCATTTGCTGGGAGTTTAAACTATACTGTTTCTTTCTTTTTTAATCAATAATTTTGAGTTATCACTTTCATCTGCTGTATTTTTCACTTTCTTTTCTGCCGTATTTGCATTTTTTCTAAAAACGCTTTTGTTTTTTGTCAAAACAGCGAGCAGATGCCATTCACGCTGGCTTCACACTGTCTAAAATAATATCAACAAATCTTCAACTAAGGTACGTTAAACATGTCAAACATTCAGTTTAGCCATTCTTCCTCCGTCGTTAGTAATAGCTTTATCTGTGCTAAGTGTATATTAGTTAGCTCTCTGACGGAGAAGACTGCAGAATTAGAGGTGCGCATCCAGACTCTAGAGAGGGTTGGCGAGAGCGAGAGCAGCATAGTTTCTGTAGGGGAAAGTCTGGATGCCTTAGGCAGAGTTAGCAATCCCCCAATTCCAGCATTACAGCCCTCACAGCGGGGTGAATGGGTGACGACTCAGTGGCATAATTGCAAAGCCAAAACTAATGCTAAGGTTCGCCCATGGGAGCACCACTCCTCTCCGCTTCACCTGTCTAACAGGTTTGCTCTCCTCAGTGAAGTACCCACTGAGAAACCTGAAAGAGCTCTGGTTATAGGAGACTCCATCTTGTGGCACGTGAAATTAGCTAGGCCTTTAGGGGCACCAGCAGCTTTAGATAGGTGTATACCGGGAGACAGAGCGCTGGACATAGCAGGTAATCTTAAGGTCTTAAGCAAGCACAGGTTCTCAAAGATAGTCATTCGTGTAGGAGCTAATGATATACGCCTTCGTCAGTCAGAGGTTACTAAGTGTAACATTGTAGAGGTGTGTAAATTAGCAAAGGCGATGTCCGATGCTGTAGTATGCTCCGGCCCCATCCCAATACTGCGTGGTGACATAGCTTACAGCAGGTTATGGTCACTGAACTGCTGGATGTCCAGGTGGTTCTTCGAAAACAATGTGGACTTTATAGATAATTGGAGCAGTTTTGAGGGCAAGGCTGGCCTGTTAGGGCGGGATGGTGTCGATCCCACTTGGGAAGGTGCTGCTCTCATTTCTTGTAGCATAGCACATAGTCTCAGAACAGGCCTAGTTAATCGGTGACAATCCAGAGCCAAGGCCAGGGAGCAGACAAGCAGGCTAAACCGACCGTCTGCTAGCTGCACTGAGTAGTCACTTAGGTTCCAAAATATTGAGACTGTGTCTGTGTCCCTGAGCTAAACAAAAATGTAGAAATACTCAGAAAGTTTGTTTTAGTAGCCTAATTAACATAAAATTAAATCAAACTGAATGCACAGCCAGCACCTTTGATCTGAAGCTAGAACTGTTGAATATTAGATCTCTTACATCTAAAGTGCCTATTGTTAATGAAACTATTACTGATCAGGAGTTTAATGTACTGTGTTTAACAGAGTGTAGAATGTAGCATTAAATGAAGCTAGTCCTCCTGGATACAGTTACATAAATCAGCCCCATCTAACTGGCAGAGGCATCACACAAAAACCTAGCCATAAATTCAACACGTTTGAAGTTCTTTATACCAATGTAACATACAGTACGTAGCCACTAAAAACAAGTCTACCCAGACGATTCCGCTGATTACTATTTACAGACCCCCAGGGCCATATTCTGAATCCACTGTGAATTTGTGGATTTCATCTCGAACCTGGTTGTTTCTTTAGACAAAGCATTAATTGTTGGAGACTTTAATATTCATTTTGATAATCCAGAAGACCCTCTGAGAACAGTGGTTGTGTCCATTCTTGTTCCAATAGGGGTTAATCAGAATGTAATAGGATCCACTCATAGTGGTGATCACACTGTTGATTTAATACTAACATTCGGATTAAATATAGAAAATATAGTCATATTTCCACAGTCTGAAGCTATCTCATCATTATGTCTTCTCATTTAAAATGTATCTTAATCATAATATATGCACCTTGTCATCCTACTGTGTCAAAGGTACATTCACGTCAGCAACTGCACAGAGTTTTATCAGTAATCTCCCAGAGTTACCAACGATGATTGGATCATCCTCTGATCCCAAAGAACTTGACCAGGCAACTGAATGCTTAGAATCAGTGTTCCTCTACATGCTAGATAAGGTAGCTCCACTTAAAAGAAAAGTAATTAGAGAGAAAAAGCTAGCACCCTGGTATAACGATCACACGCACCTTAAAACGGACCACTCGAAAATTAGAACGTAAATGGCATCAAACTAAATTGCTAGTATTTCAAATAGCATGGAAGGAGAGCCTTGTGAGCTATAGAAAAGCTCTTAGCGCTGCTAGATCAGTGTATCTCTCCACCCTAATTGAAGATAACAAAAATAATCCTAGATACTTATTTAATACTGTAGCAAAATTGACTAGGAATAAGACCACAATAGAAACATGCACACAAACATTATATAGCAGTGATGACTTCATGAATTTTTTCAATGGTAAAATTGAAAATATCGGGCAAAAAATTCAGACTATTAATTTACAACCAGACAGTTTTATAACTAATCCTGTACATAATAATATAATATCAGATTAGAATAACGATTAACGATTAGAATAACGATTAACGATTAGAATGTTTTACTCCTCTTTGAGAGACTGATCTAATTTCACTAATTTCATCATCAAAATCATCAACCTGTATACTAGATCCCTTACCTACATGTTTCTTCAAACAGATCATTCCAGAAACAATTAAACCTCTTCTAAAGATGATCAATTCTTCCCTTAGCACTGGCTATGTACCTAATTCTTTTAAACTAACAGTTATCAAACCCCTGATTATAAAAACCTAACCTCGACCCCTGTTGGCTCTCTACCTATAGGCCAATATCAAACCTCCCTTTTATCTCCATACCTGCATAGGAATAACATTCTTGAAATGTATCAGTCAGGATTTAGGCCTCATCATAGCACAGAGACAGCACTGGTTAAAGTGGTAAATGACCTACTACTGGCCTCTGATCAGGGTTGTGTCTCCTTGCTTGTGTTGCTTGACCTTAGTGCAGCTTTTGATACCACTGATGATGCTATTCTCCTCGAAAGACTAGAAGTTGTTGTTGGCATTAAGGGAACGGCCCTCTCCTGGCCCAGGTCTTATTTGACTGATCGTTATCCATTTGTTGATGTAAATGGTGACTTCTCTATGCATACTAAGGTAAAGTTTGGTGTTCCGCAAGGCTCTGTTTTAGGCCCACTGCTCTTTTCTTTATATATGCTACTTCTGGGCAAAATTATTTGTAAACATGGTATTAGCTTCCACTGTTACTCTGATGACACAGTTGTATGTTTCAGCAAAGCCAGATGACATACACCAGCTTAACCAGTTAAGGAATGTATAAAGGACATTAGACACTGGATGCTTTAACTTAACTTCCTTTTACTTAATTCTGACAAGACAGAAGTACTTGTACTAGGACCACATGCAGCTAGAAGTAAGCTTTCTGATTACATAGTAACTCTGGATGGCCTTTCTGTTTCATCATGTGCAGCAGTAAAAGACCTTGGGGTGATTATTTACTCCAGTCTTTCATTTGAAGCTCATGTAGATAATATTACTAGGATAGCTTTCTTTCATCTAAGAAATATTGCTAAGATAAGAAATATATTGTCACTACATGATGCAGAAAAAATAGTTCATGCTTTTGTTACCTCTAGGTTGGATTATTGTAATGCCTCGCTGTCTGGATGTTCCAGTAAATGCATAAACAAGCTCCAGTTAGTCCATAATGCAGCAGCGAGAGTCCTTACTAGAACCAGAAGATATGACCACATCACCCCTATCTTATCCACACTGCATTGACTCCCAATCAAATTTCGTATTGATTATAAAATACTACTATTAAGTACTACCTATAAAGCACTAAATGGTCTTGCGCCACAGTACCTGAGCGAACTTTTGGTGTTTTATGATCCGCCACGCCTACTTAGATCAAAAGGTGCAGGCTATTTGTTTGTACCTCGAACAGTGAGGGCTACAGCAGGGGGTAGAGCTTTCTCTTACAAAGCCCCACAGTTATGGAACAGCCTTCCACTTAGTGTTCGGGGCTCAGACACAGTCTCACTGTTTAAGTCTAGGCTGAAAACATATTTGTTTAGTCAAGCCTTTTGTGAACAGTTTTTTCTTAAGTAAAGGAGCAGGTCGACAGTGCAATGGCTGGGTGCTTTATGTCCCAGGGTGCCCTCAGGCCTGTGTTACCTTCTGGCTCTGCCTTTTAGTTACACTGTCACAGCTAGTCTTGCCGGAGTCCCTGCTTGCACTCTGCATGCAGAGTACATTGTCCTTAACCATTAGGGGACAAAAGCTTACCTAATAATCTCTCTCTTTCTCTCTGCCGAGCTACACATGCTACTCCTGAAATACCAGACTACTTCTGGTTGGAGTTCTCATTGGTTGAGTTCGCTCGCTGCTGCTGGGTGTGGCCCCACATGGACGGCATGAAGATTATTGGGATTGCTGGGGATGGTGCCACTTGGGGCCCGTGGAGATGGCTTGGGGATCTC